TTTCCGCGAGACTTAAGGCGCCCGCAATAACAGCCATGGAAGTTGTGGCTGCCCGGAGAGAGAGGGAACCGCCTGGCACAGCATCTTTTTGGGGTGTTTTTCCTCCACACGGACCACTTCTTTCCTCTTTCTTTGGGTAAGTGAAATCCAGTCCGTAAACCAAAGCGTAGCAATGTAGGTGATGCAAAGGGATTTCAGTGGCTCCAAGGGTACAAGTTGGGGGGATTTTATTTTTGGAGAGGGGGAGGATTCCTTTCCAGCGCCCCTTCACAGCCCCATCTCTGCAGGCCTCCATGAAGTCCAACCTATACATACGCAGTTTAGCAGGAGTTGGATTTGATTTCAGGCTTGTTGGGGGAGAGAGTGTTGGGATTTATTTACTTATTTATTTTTGGTGGATTTTTAAACATTTATTTTTTTGCCATTAATTTGTCTTTGTTCCCATTCTGAGAACAGAAGGATGACAGTGGAGGTGAGAAAGCTGCCAGAGGTTGGTGGGTGGGGAGAAGAAGGAGGATAGAGGTACCCAGTGAGTTGGAGAGATTCCTAAAGGCCAATGACTAGGGCAAGGACTCCACTCAGAGGGGGAGCTCTAGACCCTATCCTGCTCCTCACCCCAACAGAATGCACTCCAAACTTCCAGCCCCCCACACCCGGTAACCATAACTGTCCTGCTGATGCTTCTGAGGCGTGTCTTTCATTTCCCAGGGGCCCAAATAACTGCTAGTGAGGTCCGGTTCCCTGGGTTGCACACAAGGCGTGTTTACTAAGTGTTTGTGGGTTGTCTGAATGATGAGCCCAAGATTGCATCTTGTGCTAAAGGAATTCACCTAGGACAGTGAACTAAGACCCCAGAACACAAGGATAGCCCAATCCATGTTGCAAAGGAGGAAAGGATGGAACCTCAGATAATACAATATTTAGATCGTCGTTACCCAAAAAACCCCATCTGTCAGGTCAGATTCATGGATCTAGGGACCAGATGAACTCACAAGATTCTTGCATGGAGAGCATGGGTCTTTGGGTGAGGCAAACTTAGGTTTGATTCTCTGTGTTGTAACCTTGCGAGTGCTTCTTTATGTCTCCAAGCTCTGATCTTCTCATCTGTAAGAGAGGCCAGTTACAGCTTCCTCCACGTGATGCAGGGAAGATGAATGGAGAGGAAATATGAGAAGGCCAGGGGGTATGCAGTAATTGTCAGTCTTGCCTCCCCACTCTCAGAGGATTCAGCAGAGAGGGTGTCCTTCTCTGCTGAGCCCTCTGTGACTCAGGTGCAGGTAAAAACATTGCACTGCAGTTCTGGGGCTGGAGCCCAACTGCCAGTGAGCAGTTAAGGTAAAGAGGGTGCAGCGAGGCTCGTAAAGAGGGTGCAGCGAGGCTCCAAGACCGTTCTTAGCAGCTCAGAAGCAGCTTCCTTTGGATCTGGGAACAGATTTACATACATAGTGTCTCTGGGGGTATGGCTGGGAGAGGCAGAAATTCCTTGTTTGTCTCATTTCCTATTTCATCCATCCTCTCAGTCATCTGGTAGAGGAAAGCAAAGTGTATTGGGAAACACAGTCCAAAGGACGTGTCTCTAAAGCCCCTGGAGGACCTTTAAGAGGTGGAAGGGTCGGAATAGCGACCTTGTTTTAGAACCTCCTTGGATTTTTGCCCTTGGACTTAGAAGCGTGGATGTGACCGTGCAGGATGGCGGATGGAAAAGATGCGACAGGCACGGGACTCCCCCAAAACCCCTCGGCATGCAATTCAGGGAGCAACTGCCAGTGGAGCATTTCGTTTGGGGACCGCAGCTGGCAGGCTTAGGAAAGGGCTGGACTGTCACTTTCTCTTTCAAAAGTAAAGACAACTGGGTCTACCTTGACTCTATGGCGCTAGACAGGAAGCCCCATGAGAGCAAGGTCGGTATCTGTCTTGGGCTCTGCCATGGGATCAGCACCTAGCTTAGAGATGGAAACAGGAAGGGTTCAGTACATAGGTCGAACGGACAATGACTCTCAGTAACTTTATGGATAGCAGGAGCACAGCTTACACTGCTTCCTACCAACACTGCAGCATGCAACCCATGCCTTCATTTAGCAAGTACTTCTCATCCATCTCCTAAGTGCTAGGCAGCGGAAGGAATTTGTTAGCGTCTTTCAAACTGATACTCGCGTGGCCGGTTCAAGAGCACTCTGGAGAGTGAGTCCCCACCACAAATCCCTGTGGGGTTTCAGGCAGGAGAAGTGAGACCAGGGGTGGGAGGAATACTCCAGGTTGGACCACTTTCGGGAACCTCGCTGTGGTCTCTTCGCTCCGGCGCCTGCCGGGTCCTCCCGGGACCGCCTCATCCCCAAGCCGCCCGGTCTTGGCAACTGTTTTCCTCCGGGGCGGCTGCACCTCTCCCCGGCTCGTTCCCGGCCCTGGAGCAGCGGCCCTAGTCGGGCTGCGAGTAGCTGGGGAAGGGACCAAGCTGCGCCTGGGGAGCCCGCTTCCCCGCGCGGGGAGAGCGCAGTCGACGCCGAGCGGTCCCAGAACAAAAGGCTCATGGCTGGCACCGGCTTCCTTGGAGTGCGGCGGGGACGTGGGTTCGGGCTTCAGGCGGGAGAACCGGGCGCGGGAGGGGGCTGGAGTGAACAGATGAAGTGAGAAAAGAAGGGGAG